CGGCATCTGTATAACCCGTCAAGCGTAAAATCACTTCCTTGATAACACAAGGAATAGTCCATTTTCCCCTTCAAGTATCTGAGGATCCTCTTCACTGCCATCCAGTGTTTCTTCCCGGGATTTGATTGGTAACGACTTACCAAACCAACCGAATAACAAATATCCGGCCGGGTGCACATCATGGCATACATCAAACTGCCTATAGCACTAGAGTATGGGACTCCTTCCATCTCTCTTTTCTCATCATCGGTCTTAGGGAACATATTACGGCTTAGGCCTTCACCTTTTGCGATTGGGGTTTCAATGGGATTACAGTCAAGCATCTTAAACCTTTCAAGGATTGTTAGAATGTAAAACTCTTGTGAAAGAGCCAGTAATTTCCTTGAACGGTCTCGGTGTATCTTAACACCAAGTATGTAATCAGGTTCTCCCATATCCTTCATCTCGAAATGAGATGATAACCATTGCTTAACGGTTATTAGAAACTCCATATCATTTCCAGCTAATAAGATGTCGTCAACATAAAGAGATAGAATTACAAAGGATTGTCCAGTACTCTTGACGTAGACACAATGGTCTTCACTAATCATCGTAAACTCATAAGATGTTATAGCTTGATGAAAACGAAGATACCATTGCCTAGAAGATTGTTTTAGGCCATATATTGAACGTCTGAGCTTACAAACTTTGTGCTCCTGGCCTTTTACAACAAACCCAGCAGGTTGTTGCATGTAAATATTTCTTCTAGTTCCCCGTTAAGAAACGCAGTCTTAACGTCCATCTGATGCAATTCTAAGTCTAGTCCGGCAACTATAGCTAGAATAAGGCAAATTGAGGCAAACCTCACCACAGGTGAAAACGTTTCCTCATAATCTATACCCTCCTGTTGGTTATATCCTTTCGCTACTAAGCGAGCCTTGTACCTATCTATGGATCCATCCGCCTTACGTTTGATCTTGAAAACCCATTTGTTTCCGATTGCTCGACGTTCAGGCGGAAGATCAACCAAGTCCCAGATATGGTTAACTTTCATAGATTCTAATTCTTCTCCTATTGCACTATTCCATTCAACTGAGTTTGGGCAAGAGAGAGCCTCTTGAACTGATCTAGGCTCTTGATTATCATGTAGAGCAACCATAAAAGCTTCCCCTTCAATCTCAAAACGACGTCTAGGAACTTTTCCACGGTTACTTCTACGTAGCTCAGACTCTTGTGCTTCCTCCATAGAGGAATCACCAACCAATGTCTCTCTCCTACTAAGTTGTGATAGTTCATGTGAACTTTCATCAACTTCCATGAATTGGTTAGTAGAAGGAACACTAGTTGTCTCTACTATCTCTTCGAGATGAAGCCCTTTATCAACCTCTCCCCTTCTAGGAAAATCATTTTCCAAGAACGTCACATCTCGTGATTCGATTTCTGTTACACTTCCATCTGATTGTTCGCCGATAAGGACATAACCTTTAGAATGCTCAGAGTATCTTATGAAGATACACTTCTTTCCTCTAGGACCCAATTTTCCATGAGGATGAAAAATATCGCGAACAAATGCTGCAGACCCCCAAGGTCTCAGATGCATTAGGTCGGGTTTTCTTCCCGTCCATAATTCATAAGGAGTAGTAGTAACAGATTTGGAGGGCACAAGGTTAAGTATATAGGCAGCAGTCAGTAATGCATCCCCCCAATATGAAATTGGAAGGTTAGCCTGCGCCATCATAGACCTAACCATTTCAAGAAGAGTTCGGTTTCTTCTTTCCGCTACACCATTTTGTTGTGGTGTATAAGGGGTAGTCAATTGTCTGACAATACCCTTTTCATCACACAGTCTTTTGAACTGTTCAGATAGATATTCACGACCTCGATCCGTTCTTAAACACTTGATCGTCCTTTCCAACTGATTCTCGACCAAAATGATATATCGTCTAAAGCACTCTAGTGCTTCTGACTTATGTGAAATTAGGAACACATACCCGAATCGAGTGAAATCATCTATAAAAGTGATGAAATATGAAGCTCCATGCCTCGCCCTCACATTCATCGGACCACATATGTCTGAATGAACTAATTGCAATGGAAATTCAGCTCTAGTCGCTTTTCCAAATGGTTTTCTTATTGCTTTTCCAGCCAAACATGGTTCACATGTGTCAAGATCAATTCAGGCTAGTGAACCTAGAAGACCTTCTCTAGCCAATCTATTCATTCGATTGACTCCAATGTGACCAAGTCTAGAATGCCACACATTCATTTCAACATTTTCAGAACTTGTGACATATGAAAAACAATTATCAACATTACTTCTAGTAGTAACATTTGTAGTACAATCAAGTACAATAAAACCATCACAAGCGTAACCAGAACCAAAGAACACAGACCCTAGAGAAATGTGCAAACACATGTCATGGAAGTTCAAACCAAATCCTAACTTAAGTAGAGCCAGAGACTAAGTCCCGACGGATTTCAGGAGCATACAAGACATCATGTAATATGAGAGTTTTTCCGCCACGCATGTGTAGCTGGCAAGTGCCGATACCCTGAACAGCAACTTTGGAGTTGTTTCCCACATACAACCATCTTGTACCTTTAGGCACCCGTCGGTACTCTACAAATGCTTCTCGACTTCTAGCTACGTGGTCTGTTGCTCCTGAGTCTACAATCCACGAAGGATGAGATTCTGTAAGCATTACACAACTAGAAACATAAGCATATTTGCAAGTAGAGTTTAAGGATAATACCTTCTTTGCCTCAGTGCATTCACGAGCAAAGTGACCCAATGAGCTACAGTTGTAGCACTTCATTTTGGTCTTATCCTTCTTGCCTCCACGCTTGCCACGCTTGGCATCTTTCTTTTGTCTCTTAAGTTCAGACTGGTAGGGTGCCTTGTGTCCCATGTTACATTTCTTGCGTTTCAAACCTGAGTTTGAATTCGTAAATTTGGCCTCGCTAAAGGATTTAGAAGCCTCTAAGCGTTCATCCTCTAACTCAAGATGACGTGATATATCTTCAAATGTTTTCACATTTTCATTGTGCGTCATCTAAACCTTCATATGGTCCCAACTTTCAGGCAACGAGCGGAGAACCGCTTGGACTTACTGTTCATTAGACATAATCTGACCAGCATTTTTGAGCTCTCTAATCATGTTTGACATGACTCTAAGATGCTGCCTCATCGATTGATTTGGGCGCTTCTTATAATCATTAAACCTTTGATTAAGTCTCCTAAGTTTGGTTGCCGATGTGGCACCAAACTTATCTTTCAAGGCCTCCCACATGCCTTTTGCAGTTTCGTACTCTTCAAACTCACACATGAGATCATCTTGCATACAACTCAACAATGTGATACGAGCGATGCTATTCTTTCTTTTCCAGACAACATATGTCTGCTGATCTTTCTCATGTTGAGCCGTAGTACCCTGCTCAGGCTCTTCCATGTGATGGAAAAGAGTCTCCTTAACCTCTTGCTCCTCGAGGACATACTGGACTTTCCGATACCAAATATCGTAATTGTCACCATCCAATTTGTCTCCTCGGTTGAGCTCAGCAATGATGTTCTTACAAGCAGACGACATACCTTTGAACATCTTAGAGACATTATTTCTTTGCATACTCTTAACATATAACATATAATTTTGCCATGAACACAAACTAATAGAAAATAACTCAATTTTGATATGAGATCGAGAGTTCACTATGTTCCCAATCATCACCCATATCAAAACTTTGTTATACTAAATTAATTTGTTCCATACAAAATTTTAAGTTCTAAACTAATCAGAACTCCCACTTGATCAAAGTATTTTATACAGAAATTAACAAATAAAATATGTATAAAAAAAATTGATCCAAAAAAAAAAATAGAAAAAAATAAAAAAAAATTGTCAAATTTTTTTTTTTGCGGGTATTGTTCATCATCTTCTTCAAAGAGATTGTTAAACAGCAAAAAATAATTTCGAAACTTTCAACCCTTATATCTCCCTAAATACGTAACCAAATCATGCGTTCTATATATCAGTCGAAAGATAATTTCAATATCTATGCACGGAAACTAAAATCACGTAATTCCGAATTATAGATAGAGAGATATGGACGAAACAATAGTTTTGGTTTTTCTCACTAATTTTCGAAATTCATGTAAACTATTGCGGTTCTCAAAGTGATATTTTCCAGAATCATTCAAGCCTATATGAAGAATATATATGCAAAGTTTCAATCCATTTCATTATTTATTCACGAATTCACCATTTTCAATCATTTAAGCATTAACCATTTTCTCCAATTCATCATGAACAAGTATGATTGACACATAACCGTTTTAATTCATGATTACTATGAACGTGTTCATTCCAGAACCGAATCCTAATGCTCTGCTACCAATGTAAGATTTTTATGCGGAAGCTTTCTCTCTCTAAAACGTTTTCTCTCTCCTCTGTAATTTCGTTGTTTACCAACAGTCACAAACTGTTGTAAACAGACACAAAATTCTCTCTGCATATAGGGAAGTTATAAGAACCAATTTCTCATAACTACTGGTTTAATCAAACCAGTTTGGTATGCTCCCAAATCATGGGCGCAAACCGACCATAAACCAATACACCTTCAATCCATTTGCTTGGAATGAATGTGAAGTGAGTTTTAGTTATTTTCTTCTTTTTTTACCACTTCTGCGTCCACCTCATACAAACTGACACTTTTATTTATTTATTTATTTGTCTCTTATTTTCTTTTACAAAATTAAGTTTGATCAAATGCAAGTTATTTCTTGTAATACTTTTAATCAAATATAAGAACAAGAGTAGCTCTATCGGTTGATCTTAGGTTGTCCTTGCAAGGAAACGTGATCATGATCATGTTTTGGGTTGAAGTCCCACCACAAATTGGAATGAGACTAGTTTACTTTGTTACGGTCTCTGATCCATGACACTATGGTTTTAACTGTTAACTTTTTAAGGTCCATAACTCATAGGTTACAAGTGGCGACAAAGGGAAATTGACATAACGAAAAAATGAAGCGAAAAAAAGCGACTCGTAAAGCGATTTCCAATAACGGTCATATTTCCCCCTCTGTGGGGCTTTTTCCGGCCACGATCTCCACGATAATGGGTTATCCATGTGCCGGTTTCACTCCGTGGTGCACGTCTTCCAGATTTTTCGATCTGCAAGCCACGTTCTCTTGCGGTTTCTCATCCAAACAGGGAGTTCGGAGTTTTGAATCTCGAAAACCGCCATGGCGCAAATCTTATATATTCTCTGTTCTTTTACAGTTTTCTTCTCAGATTCACTCCAAATTTCCAATGGGTGATAATCTTAGACAGAGAATGCAGAATATTAATCTCGGAATTGATGACGAACCAGTGCTCTTCCCTACGACGCTGCTCAATCAAGCCTCCACAACGAACCAGTTCTCTCTCGTGGTCGTGCCTCTCAATCCCAAAAAGCAAAATCTAAGAGCAATGATTTCCGCACTCCCTCGGGTTTGGGGACTTGAAGATGCAACTTCTGGTCGGATTATTGGACACAATCAACTCCAATTTCTCTTCCGATCTGAAGACATGATGAATCTGGTGCTACAACGTACTCCATGGTCCTTTGCCGATTGGATGGTGACAGTTCATCGTTGGATGCCAAACTTAACCGAGACCTCTCGTAAAATGTTACCATTCTGGATGCAGATCCGTGGTATACCAATCCAGTTCTTGTCCCGTCAGACGATAACCTTCATTGGCGACTTGTATGGTCAAGTTATTGGTGTCGATTTTGATGAAAATTCGACGCGTGTTGACTTTGTTCGTGTTCGGGTGCTGTGGAACTCTGATATTCCCCTGCGATTTCAGAGGATTTTTCAATTTGAGAATGGAATCAATACCATCCTCCGTTTCAAATTTGAGAGACTCCGCAATTTCTGCAAACGTTGTGGTTTGCTCTCTCACGACAAAAAGGATTGTCCTCTTCGCCTGGAAGATGGCGATTTCTCAGATTCCGATGGTGATGGTGATGATAATGGAGGGAATGATCCAGATCAAGGTCTTGCGATGGACAATTCTACAAACCCATCACCTCCTAACACCACAGTACTTAACACAATTCCCTCAACAACACCTCTTTCTACTGATGTGGTGGATCCTCTTATCTCCAATATCACTGAAGCGGCAACTCTGGAGGATATGCGTCTGAGAGCACTTCGATGGCAAGGGGGAAAGTCAGAGAAGATGAATATCAGGAGATGTTTGGTGATGATGTAGGCGTTAACAAGAGGAAGCGTCTAACGATAGGAGATGATCATTCTTCTCCGACTGCTCTTGATCTGGTGGACGTGTGCCCGATCAAGAAACGAGACTGTGGTGAGCCTTCTCAAAGCTCAAACCCAGGATCAGATGAAATAGACAGAGGCGCGGGGGCCCGGTACCCTCATTGTTCCCAATATGAAGATATGCTCCTGGAACATACAGGGGTTGTGTGGCTCACTGTCGGAGCCTCGTTTGAAAGAATTGTGTCGCAAGTTCAGTCCTGATTTGTTTTTTCTTATTGAAACTATGAATGTTACCGATGTTGTTCGTGATGTCGCCGTGTCATTAGGTTATCAGAATGTGTTTTGTGTCCCTCCCCTTGGTAGAAGTGGAGGATTAGCTATCATATGGAAGCAAGATGTGTCAGTTAGTCGTATTTATGAAGATGTAAGGCTTGTTGATCTTCTGGTCAGTTTTAATGGAATGGATTTCTACTTATCGTGTATCTATGGTCATCCTATTCAAAAACACCGTCATGAGCTTTGGGAATGCATTGAACGAATTGGGGTAACACGAGACGGGCCTTGGATGTTAATGGGGGATTTTAATGACATCCTTTCCAACGAGGAAAAGATTGGTGGTCCTGCTCGTGAAGAATGGACTTTTCAGAACCTCCGCAACATGTATACCACATGTGACTTGGTGGATCTTAGACATACGGGTGATCGGTTCTCATGGGTTGGACAACGTCATACACACACAGTCAAAGAATGCTTAGATAGAGTTGCTGTGAACTCAGAGTGGCTGGCTAGTTTCCCTGCATCTGAGACTGAGTTTTTAGGCCTTTAGGGTTCTGATCATAGACCGCTCCTCACTCGCATTGCAATTGTAACTTCATCAGCTCCTAAGCGTTTTCATTTTGACAAGCGCTTGATTCAAAACAAAGATTTCAAGCACTATGTGGCTGATGGCTGGAATTCGCTCAACCTGTCTCCCAACTGTTCTATTACAGACCAGATCAGAGAGTGCAGAAAATCTTTGTCACTTTGTCGTCGAAATTCATCAATAAATTCAGCAAAAAAGATTGAATCCTTGCAACTAGATCTTGATTTTGCTTTACAAAGTTTGGGATATAGGCGTTCTCTGATTCCTTCTCTGCAAAGGCAACTTGCAGCTGCTTACCGAGAAGAAGAATTGTATTGGAAAGCCAAAAGCCGTAATACTTGGTTATCAGTTGGGGATAGTAACACCAAATACTTCCATGCTTGCACTAAATCCAGATATGCAAGGAACAGATTGCATTCAATTCAAGATGCTACAGGGGGTATCTATAGAGGTGATAAGGACATTGGAATACATGCTGAGAAATTTTTCCAGAGTATTTATACCTCCTCCAAGAATCCAGTTCATGAAGTCTTGTTTAATGACTTCCAAGCTTCTGTAACTACGGATATGAATGATCATCTCACTCGGGAGTTCACTGATAAAGAGATTTTCGATGCCATTTGTTCAATTGGATCGGATAAATGCCCTGGTCCAGATGGTTTTACAGCCAGATTCTATCAAGAGTGTTGGGATATTGTAGGCACAGATGTTATAATGGAGGTACGTCGTTTCTTTGCTACAAGCTCTATGAGGCCTGGAGTTAATCATACTAATATATGTATGATCCCCAAGATTACAAAGCCCAATACTCTCTCTGATTATCGGCCAATAGGACTCTGCAATGTTCTATACAAAATAATCTCTAAACTCTTGGTGTTACGGCTAAAAACGCTTCTGCATCGGATTGTGTCTGAGGAACAAGCAGCGTTTATCCCAGGCAGGATGGTTTCTGATAATGTTCTTGTTGCAAATGAATTGATGCATTCTCTTAAGGCCAGGAAACGTGTGTCTAAGACATATATGGCTGTGAAGACTGATATAAGCAAGGCTTATGATCGTGTTGAATGGAATTTCTTGGAAAGAACTTTGCAGGCGTTTGGATTTTGCAATACCTGGGTTCAATGGATTATGGCTACAGTCAGAACCGTCAGTTACTCTATTTTGATTAATGGCAATCCAAAAGGAATGATTCACCCTGAAAGAGGCTTAAGACAAGGGGATCCATTGTCCCCTTATCTCTTTATACTTTGTGCAGATATACTCAGTCATCTCATCAAGCAAGGTGTTCGCCAGGGTAATATCAGAGGTATAAAGATTGGAAATGGGGTTCCTCCGATCACACATTTATTGTTTGCAGATGATTCTATCTTTTTCTGTCAAGCAAACAATCGGAATACAAAGGCTCTCAGAGATATCTTCTCGGTTTATGAAAGAAGTTCAGGGCAAATGATTAACACCTCTAAATCCATGATAACTTTTGGAAGTAGAATCCCTGGAGACTTACAGCAACGTCTGAAAAACATTTTAGACATACAAAACCAAGGCGGAGGGGGTAAATATCTAGGTTTGCCAGAACAGTTTGGGAGAAAGAAATCTGAAATGTTTAAGTACATTACAGATGCAGTTAAGAAAAGAACGTCTTCTTGGAGTTCGAAGCTTCTATCCCCTGCTGGAAAAGAGGTTCTGATTAAATCTGTTGCAGTCTCTATGCCAGTGTATTCTATGTCATGTTTTAAAGTACCATCAGGAGTTGTGAAAGAAATCTCAAGTCTCATTTCTAAATTTTGGTGGGAGAAAGAACAAGATAAATGTGGGATCTCATGGATTGCCTGGAAGAAACTACAGAAGTCTAAGAAGGATGGAGGATTGGGTTTCAAAGATCTAGAGAAGTTTAATGATGCACTTCTTGAAAAACAGGCCTGGAGACTACTTAAGTACCCAGATACACTCTTCGCCAGATTGTTTAAGGCAAAATACTATAACCATGGATCTCTGCTGGATGCTAAACCTCAACGATACCAATCTTATGGGTGGTCTTCAATATTGGTGGGGCTTGAGCTTCTCAAGAAAGGAATACGATACAACGTTGGTAATGGTACAGACATCAAAGTGTTTCAGGATAACTGGATCCCATCCGATCCCCCTCAGCCTGCAACCGGTTTACAAAATAATCAAATGCTGGTATCGGACCTTATTTCTATGACTTATGGTCATAAAAGATGGGATGATCATCGTCTGCAAATCGTGCCATTACAAGATCAAGTTCAGATCAAGAACATTTTCCTCTCTCAAGTACAAGCAAGGGATAAGATTATTTGGCACTACACGAAGGATGGAGAGTATTCTGTCAAAACTGGGTATTATTTGGCTCGTAAACTTGAGGATCCTGATAATAATCTCATCTTGCCACCCCATGGTGATCCTCTCTTAAAGAACAGAATCTGGAAGTTGAAACTAGTTCCCAAATTGAAACACTTCCTATGGAGGATACTTTCTAAGGCATTGGGTACTTCAACACGTCTCATTACTCGGGGTATTCAAGTGGATCCAACCTGTCATCGCTGTGGTTTGTCAGATGAAACTATCAACCATTTATTATTTGAATGCCCCTTCTCTCATATGACGTGGAGACTGAGTGGTCTACCGATTCCGTGTCTCTTTCAACCTTCATCAAACATGGAAGACAATTTCAAAATTCTGCTAGATCTTCAATCGGCTAATGGGCTAACAAAACAACAAAAACTTTTACCTTTCTGGCTGATGTGGCGCCTCTGGAAATCAAGAAACAACCTCCTCTTCAGAAAACAAATTCCAAACCCCTCAAGAGACGTCTTTATTGCTTTGGCAGATGTTAATGAATGGCTTCTTGCTAATACAGAGGATTCTACACCTACTCTTTCGGACACCTCAGAAAATCGTTCACATTCACAAGGATGGTGTATCCCTTGTACCGGCTTCCACAAGTGCAACTTTGATGCTGCTTTTGATCCTTCTTCAAAAATATCTTCAGGAGGTTGGATAGTTAGAGACGCTTATGGCAAACATTCTTATTGGGGAGCAATCCATCTTGGACTTTCAAACTCAGCTTTAGAAGCGGAAGGAAAGGCCTTATTGACGGCTATGCAGAATACATACATGCGGGGATATCGTGATGTTATTTTTGAAGGGGATTGCCAAAACTTAATCGATATTCTTAAGGACCAAGGTCAAGACTATGCTATTCATAATCTCTGCATGGAGATCAAGCTCTGGGGATCCAAATTCAACTGCTTACGATATAATTCAGTGCCGCGTCAACACAATATACCTGCTCACCACTTGACCAAAGCTCTTCCTGTTGGCTCATCTTTTTATTCAAGTAGTACTAATCCGCCTTTATGGTTGTCTGTTCTTCTCAAAAACGATTATGTATTTGCTTACAATAGTCAGTAGTATAAGTTTTATTTCGCCGAAAAAAAAAAAAAACTCATAGGTTACAAAACAAAATAAATAAATAAATAAAAAATGAAATTCGTATTGTTCTTAAGGTTACAGAACCGCTCTTCGAGCCTAGTCTTGCAGTATGACGGTAATACAGTGGATTTTGCTATATGAAATAGCTATGCGCTTAGTTACAGATTGCACCCAAGGTAAACGAAGCGATATTATTCGTATAATTGAGATATCTGTTGGAGATTTAAGTGTTACAAATATTTTAGTGAATTATTATAACTCTGGAGAATATGGTTATTCTCCAAATATTGTAACTCTTGAGAATATATTTATTCTCCAAACATTGCAACTTTTGAGAATATGGTTATTCTTCAAACATTGCAACTTTTAAGAATATGGTTATTCTCCAAACATTACTCTTGAGTTTTATTGGTTATTTTGAACCATTGCAACTGTTGGGACTATGGTTATTTTAAACCATTGCAACTGTTGGGATTATGGTTATTTTGAACCATTGCAACTATTCTTTGTACCCCTGGAAACTCTATAAAAGGTAGAAAAATCTTTGGAGAGATGAAATAAAAAATGTTTTTGCAAACTACAATCATAAAACAACATAATAACAAAGCACATAAAAACTTTTTGTGTATCTCTTGTATCTTAGCCTAGAACAAGAGGAAAGCTTTGATTGCCTTATC